AAAAATAGTGTATCCGTAGTTACTGAGGAGGAAATATGTTTTTTTAAAAGAATATATGTACATATTTAGCCATTTGACTCAGTTTTCAACCCAACACATTAAAAAACAGATGCTTTAAAAAATGATCTGTTGGCAAGATGCTTGTTAAAATTTTATCAGTTGAAATATTAAAATTCATTATGAATTAATTAACACATTATATAAAAATAAAATGTTTTTGTTTCATCGTTTTACAAAGTACTATACCCAGTGGTGATTAACACTGGGAATTTGCGTATCTTGATATGTGTTGTACAGAAAGAAACTAAATTTATAGGATTACCACTGAATTGATGACATTTTCTGTCTTCACTCTTGAATTCAGTTGGCAGATGTTTTCAAGAACAAAAAATTCCATCCTATTACAAAACATATTAAGCAGGTTTTCCTGCCAGGCATGTCTGACATGATGTTTATTGCCTAGACCAAATCAATCCCCTTAATAAGATATAATATATGCTAGCAAGTATATTATTTCATAGTTAAGGAAAGTTGCCACATGAAAGAGTAAGTCCTTTGATCTCTCATGCTCTACTAATGCATTAGAAGTATGCTACAGAACCTACTAGTTAGTCACATCTATTTACCCTCATTTAGTAAGTAAAATATACTTTACTAATCTTAAATTTCAGAATTTGGATTTCTTATATTATAGAACCTTAACTGGTAAAGTTTCTACCAATATTTCAATATCTGAAACACTTCCAAATCTGGAAAACTTCTGGTCCCCAGTGTTTTGGATAAGGGATATGATGAAATATAGATTGCTAAAACACTACCTTGAAATGATTCCAGTGGCATCAGTACAGTAGAAAAGAGGTGAGCCCTAACACTGTGAACACAGCTAAATCAGAACATCAAAACTATATGTTTTAAAAAAGAAAACTTTGGTTTATCAAAATTGGCAGTTTCTGAACAAATGCAAAAATTCAGATGCATGCTTTAAAAATCAGTCAGAAAATTAGGCACCAAATATCTTCCATGTTAAGGAATAAGAGTTTTGATGGATGTCAACAAGCAACCAATCCATAAATATTTGAGAATCTTCAATGTGTAGGGCTAGGCTCTGCCAAGATTCCTATTCTGTACATGCCTCCTTCACATTTGGACTTTTCCTTCTGTGGCCTTGTAATTCTCCTTTGCCTCTCCAACTCCAGTATCTGTTTTCCTTTTGTATTCTTTTACATGCTGAGTTGAATCCCTCTTCTTACTTCCCACTGTACATCCTACCACCTAGTCTCACCTTAGAAAAGAGACATTCAACTAGTTCAACCCAATGTTTGCCAGTCAAGTTACTTTTGCCTATATTGCACCTTTTTTCTATAAAGTTCATCTTCCCTAGTCTTTGTCTCTTATGCTCCAGTTTGACACCTGAATAACCTTCATTCCTTTATCTAGCTACCTCTTTATCTAGCTATCTCTCTAGACCAAGGCCTCACTTTCTTGGATTGGTCTCCTTCCAGGGATTAGTATCAGTTTCTGACTCCCTGACAATATGTTCTACATATGGCTAAATCAGTACATTGTTAAGGATAGATATGAAATGCAAAAATATATAACACATGCTCAAATATTTAGAGGGGTACAGGGATATCCAATGGAAAGGCAAAAAGACAAACAGGTAATAATAAAATTATGAGACAAAATACAAGAGATATCGCCACGTAAGTTAACATAGGATAAATAAGATAATTCCACATTCAGTTAACTAACAATAATTATTTTGTGAGTCTTAGGACAAATTATTGTGAGAGGAAGAGGTGATATGTTAGCTGGGCAATACAACATAATCAGAATCTAGATTGGGGAAAAGAAAGAAAGCAAAGTTACATTTTTCATAAAGCATAATGTGTATACATGGCAGAGTAGATGTGTAAATTTGAAATATCATTATGTCAGGATAAAATATTTCCATTTTCATCCAAAATTTTAGCACAAAATGACAGGGCTTAAAAGGAAAATAGGCTATTCTATTTTCATATATTCAGACGAAAATGTATAGTTCAATCAACATATCAAATAAAGCTTACCATTCTAACTATGTTAATTAATGAAACATTACATTACTTTTTGAAATCTAATCAATAGGGTAGGAGACCAACAATATAGGTTGCTTTTTGTTTGACTGTGTTTCACAGACAATCAAGCAACATATTTTAATAATGTAGGATTTATTCTTAAAAAGAAGAAATAGTTTTGAAATTTTAATCCTGGCTCTACCACCTCATTGAAAATTTATTGTGAAGGCTCTATTCCATAAATGTTTATTATGAAGACTCTATTCTAGGCTCAGAGGACACAGCATTGAGCAAAACAGAGTACTTGCCCTCACAGAGATTATAGTAAGAGGTATGTGACCTTGAGAAAAATATTAAATGTTTGATCAACAGTCTCCTCATCTATAAATCTGGATCAGTATCAGTGATCAGTTAAGAGAGAATATATAAATATCTTACAGCTGAGCAAAAAATCTATCTTTGTCATCAGAAGCTACTATACGGTATCATATTTTATCATATATGCCTTAATTTCCATATTTAAGTTACATACTTTGTTTTCTTTTACAGAACAATGTGGCAAAGAGGAAAGGGAACAAAAAATCATTAGCAATTAGATAATTCTAATACGTGGTTCTACATATACTAGCTATGTGGTTCTAGATAAACACCTGCATGTCAATTTCCTCAACTGTAAAATAAGGATAAGATGATTTCATTCCCCTATTAGGCTGCTGCAAAGAATACATGAGAATTTCAAAGCATAAATGATTAAGAAGTATATAAATAAAGGTTAATTTATCTCCATCCATACTGTGTTGGGTCTAAAAATTAGAATATTTGGAGATATAAACAGGGTAAAACTCATTTCTTGAGTGGGTCTAGTTTACCTAAGAATTTACTTTACACAGATAAGCCATTCTTCTCTTTCCCACTATAGAACCAAGTTTTACCACCTAGCTTTTTTTTTAAAAAAGAGTTTCAGCATACTTCTGCCATTATGCACAATTCCAGAAATTTTAAGAGAAAAGTTGTATATTAAGAAATAATATTTCATTAACTAGCACCATCACATCTTGATGTGATGTCCAGATAAATATATTTTATATTTTAGTGCTTTCCATGAGAACCTGAATTGATGAGCAAAATGGAGCAAATGAGAGAAGCAAAAAAAGAATAAGGAAAAGAAGTAAAAAATGGCAGCAATGCAAAAGAGAGGAAAGAACTAAATAAAAAAGACAAAAGGAAAAAGAGCAGTTTTAATGAAGCAACATAAAATTTTTTGTCTTTGGTGGAAGAAAAAAATAGATGCAGGGATAACTAAAGCAGAAGTGAAAAACACAATAAGAAAAATGCACACATACAAGAGAACAAAAGAAAAAAAATCAAAACTATGGTGACCAGCAAAAAAGAAACAGAAAGTAAGAAATAAACCTATAAGGAGATGGTTGACATACATGCTTAATCTGTAGATGCCATAAGTAGATAAAAGAAATTGTTGAAGAAGAAATAAAAAACTTAACACACACAGTCACTTTTTTGTTTGCCTTTACACAGACAAGCAAATACTATATGATTCTTACATTTCAAAAGCATTATAAAACTCATTTCTAGAATCTGGATAATTTTTTTAAAAAACTTAACTTTGTCATAAAATGGTGGTTTACAGACTGCATGATACGATAGGAAGTTTAGGACAACAGAAAGAGGAAAACATAGTATCACAACACTGACACAATCATACAAAATATAACTATACTAGAACACAGAGGCTACTTATGGATTCCAAATCTAATATTTTCTCAAATAATTATTAAATAGTGATAAGATTTTCCAAAATTGTAGGATTATGATCTGCCTGATCTGGTTTGACTCATTGTATGAAATATTTTGTGCATTCTTGGTTAGGATACATTTTGGGGGATTTTGAGAACATATATGCCACTTTCACAACTCAATAGACTGATGGCCTATAACAAATGTCTTAAAGTCTAAAGTACAATTTCAAAAAGAAGAACGATTTGCCATGAACTAGAAGTATAATGAAACAACAAAAACTTGGAAAGCAATGTATTTCCCCTCAAAAGTGATATGAAATATGTTATTAATGGTCTTTAAAAATAGCTCAAGTTGAACATTCTGAATTGCTACTGCTATCTAAACAGTATCATTTACAAAATGTTAATTTGTCTGTTCAAATGTTCTGAATTGTTCACTTTCGAAGAACTTAACAATTTACTATCTTATTTCACCTAGCAGCATTTTTGACGTGGTTTACTGGTAAGCTAAATTCTAACTTCCATAAAGCAGGCTTTGAAAATTGCCCAGATTTATCTCATCCATATAATGTACAGTATGTATCTCACAAAGAACATGTCAAAGGGCAAACACAATTGTTTGTGCCCCTACAGAATTGGCTATTCTTGGGCAGCTCTGCTGTAATTATTTCATGCTGCTAGTGTTACAAAGTGCAAAGGCTCACTGGGTAAGACAAGAGCAAAGGATAGAGTTCTCTCATTACACTGTCCCTGAACTACTTTGGCTTAAATATTTAGTATGCTATTAATTACTCTTCCTCCCCATATCTGCCTTCAAGAAGTTAGGCTGAGATACTGTGGATGCATAAGCTTCTCATGTGAAACCAATGCATTATCTAGTAAAACTTACCACCCAAGATGAAGACTGTTTTGTACAAGGCACTGTTATTCAGCAGATAATATATTTTAGAATTATGCTACATGAACTCTTTCCTTATAGAAAACATAATAGCATCATACTTTAAAGAAATAGCACGTTGGGAAGCTGAATTAAAAAGTTTTCTTCTCTCTGCGTATATCGCATTAAAACTATTCTAGAAAATTTTCTTTGAACTAGTGTATGAAGCAAAAAGAAAATGGCATTTGCATTTGTGACTTCTATAAAATGTCACACTGATATAAGTGTTATGTGTTTTATAACTGTAAATAAAATCCAAAACATTTAAGCTACGTAGACGACCATGGGAAACAAATGGCTAAAAACTAAAGAATTAACACCTCCTGAAATAAACAGAATAACTTATATGAGATAAAATATAAATAAAAGGAAAGAAATAACGAAGGAAAGTAGTGTTTGGCTTACTCTGATATACAACTGCATCATTTCCTTTTCTCTTTGGGGGTTACGATACTTCTCATAGAAATCACGTCGCTTCTTTGTTTCTTTAGAGACTTTATCTTTTCTTTCCCGCTTTTCTGCTGGTTCATCTGAACTATCTAAGGATGATTGTACATGTATCTTCGGCTTTTCTACTTCAATATAGTTTTCATTGGGATTCAGTACTATTACTCCATATCCTTCCTGTTTCAAAATGACAGAAGGTGGAACAATTTAATATTAGAATCCTTTTCAGATGAAGTAATTTAGAAATACGAAATGAAATATAGTTTCATATTAATTTAAATAGTCAGTTAGGAAAGATTTTGGCCTAAACATTTCCAGTGAAAGTCATTTAAAATTGTTCATCATTTTTCTATTTGTAACTAAACATATCTATAAGAACAAAGACATACCTGAGACAAAAAATGCAACTCATCCCAAAAAGTATTGAAATAAAATATTGAACAAGCATACTTTCAAATCAAAATATGTTTATAATGTATATTTTGAGAAAATAAAACTTTAAAATTTAAGTATAAAATTCAAATAGATTTCCTAAGATTTTTTTCTTTACACTTGCCTTATAATGAACATTTTAATTTGTTGGAACAATAAACAACAATACTCAATTAAAAAGGAATAAATCTGGTCTAATCTATAAATTTACAAGTCCATGTTATATATCTATATTATCAAAAACATATAATATCTGCCTGTTTACCTTGGATTTTATTCACTTCTTTTCTTTCAGTAGGACTGACAAAACAAAATAGGATGTATGGAAGCACCTTTATAACCTTGAAATTATTGAATCTTTCAAACTACTATAGCAGTTTCTCCTTATTAACAACTAACTAGTTCTAGGAAATGACAAGCAAGGTTCCAAAGTTTAAAAACACAGCTTTTTGAGCTATGGGAGCTTTCTTTAAATTAAAAAAATTTTTCCTGTCTGATTTATTTAAAAAAAGACAAAGATTTCTATGGTTATAATTATGAAAACTTTACATATTTACGTTATAATGGATGAAATAACCTAACCATTAGAAATAGAAAAGGATAAACAATAGCCACTGACAAGCATGAGCAATGCAAAATGTGATGCTATTATGTATCTGTCTTTTCTATTCAGTTCTGAATTGTGGGTGTTCCAATTATGTCCTTGTAAAATTCTGTAAGGTCATGCTTAAAAGATGTAATATATTATGATAAAAAATAAGAGTTGTAGAAAATAAGGCTTGTAAATTCTCCATCCTTATTAAAAAAGTGTATAGTTTTTCAAAATTATAACCATACCATCTTCTACTTTAAGCTCAAATTTTAATTCTTTTTGCCAAGACAACCACAAATGATTTCAATAAACTGATAACAATAGTAAAAAACCAACATTAGCATAGATTCAATTATATTATCTTTAAATATGTTACATTGCTGCATGTTATTTTTTTAAGTTGATTTTACAAACTACTTACAAATTTCATTGAGATCAGTTCAATTTTTATCCCTAACCAGATGATATAATTATCTAAAACTATGACTAGCTTGGAAAATTTCAAGATCACTGAAGTTCTGATTTTAGTGAGAGGACTATTAATTAAGATATAATCATCTTTACGTATGTGCAAGCTATATAATAATACATGCCAAAATGAATAACAACATATCAGACATTGTTTAATAGATGTTCAATTAAAACTTTTAGATAAATACCTCTTTAATGAAGAGGCCTATAAAATACTTCATAAAAAGTTTAAACATTTTATATCAAAACAAAAGGGTGTGTGTGTGTGTGTGTGTGTGTGTGTGTGTTAAAGTTTCTTAGCTGGCAAGTCAAGTTTTACAAACAAAAGATATTTTATTTGGTCCTGCTTTATTCTAATCTGTATAGCTATTCAAAAGTCTTGTAATTCATTGTGATCATTGTCAGGTAGACAGATTGTCGCTTGGTGATTTTCTACAGTTGGACACACTTGGCTAGTTATTAAAATCACATTTGAAGGACGTTCTACACCTCTTCCTTGTGCCTCTTACAACTTTTGACGCCCTTCTCAAATTTCAGCTATAACTTCTCCTCCCACCAAAAGTAAGTTAAAGAACACTGTTGCACTCTGCTAAACTGGGTGAAATAGAGGCATTCAGTACACTGTCTCTGGTGTAAGGAACATAGTCAAAAAAGGTCACCATAGGCCAAAAAGAAAATTGCCTCCTCACTACATTTTGTACTGTGAGTAAAATAGTGTCCTGTTATGTTTCTTCCCTGCCTTCTGGGAGTGAATTGAGCTTTAAACACACACACACACACACACACACACACACACACACACACACACACACACACACACACATACATGGAGCCTCTCAGTCACACGAGTTAGTCTACAATTCTTAGAGAAGGAAACAGTGATATACTACAATGTTATGATAATATGAAAAATTTTGAACTCACGGTAAGAAAGTGGGACCTTAAATGATATGAGCATCATTTTTGGTAATGACTTACTTCCAATTAAAGAACAACTCTTTGAATGAAGTTTAGTGACCAGAATTATAAAATCATTATTCTAATTTATAACTTAATCATTAGAAATGATATTTTCATAAATACATGCTTATTTGAGCAGTTTTTATTTCAATTTCTAGAAATCACAGATTGAAATTTTTCTGTGCCTAGTTGACTTTAAGTAGACTTTGAAACTTGATGTATCCCATCTAAATAAGCTTAAAAAGTAGACACACATGAATCATCAAAGAAATAGTATTTGTCTAAGTTATTGATTATGTAACTGAAAATTACAAGACTCATTTGTTCAATTTTATAAAGGCACAATGTCAATTTTTCACTGAGGCATCAGCAGAAGAAAAATGATCCTATTTTTCAATCACCAACATATGAATCAATTAAAGACTTTATATCATTTAGATTTTAATAATGAATGCTTCTCCTTAAATACCTAAACTATTTAGAAACTATTTTTTATCATTTAGATATTTCAGACTGCCAATTTAATTAAAGTAATAGCAATCAAGAAATATTCAGGAACATTTTCAGTGGAAATGAGAGCTGATTTTTAATAAATGTCTGTTGAAAATTCAATTATTGTAGTTCTGTAAAAACCCTATCATTTTCAACTAAAATTTTTCTGATAAACTGATGCACATACTTTTAAGCTTCATCCTTTTCCTTCTTTTCACTCTTACATATAGCAATTTCAAAAAATATCTTTAGAAAGGGTAAAAGACTTTTACAATGTCAATATTAATATATGACAACAAAGGAGCCAAAGCAAATAAAGTAAAACAGAGGAAAAAAATCTCAGTAAAATTAAACTGTTTTAAATAGAACTTAGAGTTTTAAAATCAAAATACATACCAATTTTAAAAGTAATTCTATTCATAATAATTTAGTCAGTACACAACAATTAAGTAAAAAGGCTGCTGTTGTGACCTGTAATGTATGTAAAGTTTTTTAAAACTACATTATAAAATCAAGTACAATATTATAAAAGAACTATGCATTGCTATTTAATAAGGAAGCTTCGGTAAGTTAGGCTTAGAATCTTACACACTTTATATTGAGGTATTCTTCTTATATTTAATTATTCCTTATGTATTCTAAATTTCTGCAGGATGAAAAGTTGGATCATTTCAAATACACATAGAAATCTCTTCTATTATCTTTAACAAGAGAAAATGATCAAACTGATTATCTAACATCCTACAACTAAATACATAAAACTCTGGCATCTTTTATAATTATTTACCCAAACTGATTCCAATGAGGGACAAAGCATACATAAAGTTGTTAATTAACTCTTAAGTTTGACTGCAGATTCTAAGATTAGGAAAGTAATTAAGAAAAAAGATATTGGTAGAACTAAATTTAATTCATCTTACTCCATTTCTATACTTGTGTAGCTATAACTGCAGTTTCATTTTCAGACCTGTTTACAAGGTCTGAACTATAGGATCTTAATAAGAAGCCCTCAAAAGTTTACTGCTAGACATGACTTTATTCAGCACAAGTACTTGCTATGATTTAAATTAAATACACAAGCCTCTAGGCCTTCTTTACTCTGGTCTATAAATGCATTTATAATAAATAATAGTTTACTTATCATTCAATCAACAAATGATAGCTTAGGTCAGAGAGGTCTAAAACCCACAGGTGATGCCAAACACAAAGAACCAAGGAGGAAACTTTGTTAGAGAAATTAAATCAGTATAGAAATACTTATTGGTACTTAGCAAAAAAAATCTGGAAACAGATAAAATCTAAAAATGCCTGACCCAAACTGGACTGTACTTGTGATCCCAAATGAAACTACAAAAACTACAGATTTATCCAATCTAACTACCAATTACAAGAAGAACTACTGATTACAGGAAGAACTGAAAATAGGGACAAATTCTACATCTTTTCAAATCTCTTGTGGGTGACTAAATAAAAAAATCAGCTGAAAGTACTCCACTTGCATATTAACTTGCCAATACTGGAAGCCACATGTGACCAGAGGGGCCACACTAGAATCCTCTAATCCATGGAACTACCTGTTTTGGTCTTCAGGGAAAGCTCTGTAAGAGGTCATTTTACCTACATTTATGAATCATATTTTTCAAGTTCAGTGTTCTACCTGTTTGACTTGAAAGAACATAGGTGCTCATCCTCAACTGAAATAATACCCCAAGTGTTTCATCTATGAAGTACATCTACCCATGCTTAAAAATGGAAAACCACGGTCCATTCATCTTTTCTGAAAGAGGTATGTTGTGTTCATTCTCATCTTTTTCATAGGAAGTATATGCCTATGTCACTGTTGCAACATCCTAGGTGCAACAGTGAGATGAGGTCATGACAACCAATCAAAAGTCACTAGTGAAACCTTAAAGTAAACATAGCTGTTGGAGCTGTAGCTTTGCTTGAAAAATGCCCCCTCCATTATTTCAGCAGTTTTCTCAAGACATGACCTGGGACTGAAACTTCTGAATATCACTTGACTCCACTTTGTGCTTCTTCTCAACATGCAGTTATGTAACAGTACCCCACTAATAATTTATAAAATATTCACCAGGACCACATTTCAACTTGTAGGTTCCTGAATTCTAATGCTATGTTCTACGGCATAAAAATACTGTACTATGGACCTACATAGATTTTTCCCAGTTAAGTTTCTAACTTCAAATAGCTCATCAAGTTAGTCAGTAAA